TTACTTTTTTATGGAAAGTAATGCGTTACGTTACTGTTACGTTACTTTTTAAATCTGGACAGGGCTTGCTTGTTTGATTTTAAAATAAAAAAGTTCTATTTTTGGCAAATATAAAAGCCTTTTCACACCAAAAGTGAAATGAATAAGCCTCAGGCTGAAGGGAAAGTAAATTTACGTCCGTACAGTAGAATACAGAAGAAGAAATTTCAACAAACTTCAGCAATAAACAAAGACACACAAATGTTTGTCTAGAGTAATTTTTGCTTATTAGTACGGTTGAACTGGATCATCGGAGGTCGGAAGCAAAGACATTGGTTAATAGAATGGGATTAAATACATAAAGGATATTTGTGTTGTTTAACATTTAATTATTGCAGGTTTGCGTCATATTCTGAGTTGCATTGTTTTTATTCATTTTGAGGAATACTGAATGTGTTTTTTTGTGTGTGAGTGAGATGAATTAATGCATATTCATATTTATTTTAGAACTACAGTAACATCTTCTGATTTCTCTCAACATGGGGACAGGAGAGCTGTCAATCAATAAATTGAAAAAAAAAAAAGTAACTCAGATATTCTCTTGTAAATTAAAAAGTAATGCGTTACTTTACTAGTTACCTGAAAAAAGTAATCTGATTACGTAACTTGCGTTACTTGTAATATATTACCAACACTGCCCCCAACACTGGTTATTACACATATTATTGCATTATTGTAAAGAATTTATACTTCACCTTAGTGTTATACTGCCTTTAATCTACGCTGAATTAAATAAAAGGGACTTTATTCATTTTTTGAGCAATGTAACAACAACAACAACAACAAAAAGAAGAAGAAGAAAAAGCACTCTAAAGTAACACTAGGACACTGTTATCTAAAATGACGTACATCAAGTATAATTATATTGCATTTTGTAATCCAATAATTGGATAATGAGTTGCACTACAAATAATTTCATAAATTAACTAGGAACACCACCAGGGTTATTATCGCTAACTAAAACTAAAAACATACAAATTAATAATAAAATAAAATATATATAATTTATGTTATTTCTGCTAGCTGCCAAGGCAACGTTTCTCATGTTCGTCTATTTGAAGTACTAAAATAACTAAAAATAAAAATGTAAACGTAAATATAGACATTAATAATAATGACAAGGCAACAAAATTACTAAAACTTTAATTAAAATTCAAATGAAAAAATTATGATATAGCAGTGATACTAAAATAACATGGAACACCACTTTAATTATTAAGTAAAAATGTTTTAACCATTAAAATAGTAATAATAATAATAATAATAAAGTGGAGGAAGCTTGTTTTTGTGAGATTTACCCTAAAAAGTGTCAGCATTTCCCCCAGTACTTGTCTTTATGCTGTCTGCATTCGTGTCATTGTAATTGCAGAACAGATGCAGAAGGTAAATCGAGCCGAAATCAATCAAGCAGATGTGCAGCCTGTTGGTAAGTCATTATGTCATCTGCCCAGTGTGTTGAGTTTGCATTGTTATTACTGTAAACATACATGTGACACCTCATATCACACACGAGATTTATAGGATCATTATTTGGGAGGATTATGTTTTCTGTGTTACAGTTTATTTGCATTAGGCCCATGTGAATGCTTTTAACAGACATTAGTTTCTATATATAATCGTCATTTATGTGTTTTATTTGAATTAGGTGTGAAGATCTGGTCTGATCCCTTCAAGCCAAAATGAGTCCAGTGTGCGGATGAAAATTGAGTGAATAAACACAAGGACTGATGTGTCACGCACTGAGGATTGAGTATTTGAGACAAACACATTAACTCTTTGCTACCATGCATCAAATGAGACTTTTAGGATGTATGAATCTTATGTGTTTGTATATTTTGTGTGGGAATATGATTGAAACTAGAAAGAACGAATAACTAAAAATAGTTCAAATAAAATAAAAATGGAAACTTTGTTGCTTTTGTTAGTCAGCACTTCAAAATATTATGTCATGTTATCACTTTGAATAGTTGTGTTAATTTATGCTGGTGTATTAATGGAGTAACATATTCTGCTATTTGTATTCTGAATAAAAAATATACATCTTGAACTGTTTGTTTTAGAAATATGACCACTAGATGGCGGTCACTTCATTTTGTACATTACTAGATCCTGTGGGAAGAATGCTGGTAAGTCGGACCTTCAGTTATTCATTCACGAATACAATAGCAGGATCTTAACTTTGCATAGTTCATCATGCTTTATATTTATAATCAAATTGCTTACAAATGTGACCCTGGACCACAAAACCAGTCATAAGGGTCAATTTTTCGAAATTGAGATTTATACATCATCTGAAAGCTGAATAAATAAGCTTTCCGTTGATGATTGTTAGGATAGGACAGGGGTGTCCAAACTCGGTCCTGGAGGGCCGGTGTCCTGCAGAGTTTAGCTCCAACTTGCCTCAACACACCTGCCTTCAAGTTTCTAGTATGCCTAGTAAGAGCTTGATTAGCTGGTTCAGGTTTGTTTAATTGGGGTTGGAGCTAAACTCTTCAGGACACCGGCCCTCCAGGACCGAGTTTGGGCACCCCTGGGATAGGACAATATTTGGCCGAGATACAGCTATTTGAAGATCTGGAATCTGAGGGTGCAAAAAAATCTAAATATTGAGAAAATCGCCTTTAAAGTTGTCCAAATGAAGTTCTTAGCAATGCATATTACTAAACAAAAATTAAGTTTTAATATATTTGCAGTACGAAATTTACAAAATATTTTCATGGAACATGATCTTTACTTAATATCCTAATGATTTTTGGCATAAAAGAAAAATCTATAATTTTGACCCATACAATGTATTTTTGGCTATTGCTACAAATATACCCCAGCGACTTAAGACTGCTTTTGTGCTCCAGGGTTACATATGTGAGAAAATGGGGGAAGTCGTGGCCTAATGGTTAGAGAGTCGGACTCGTAACCCAAAGGTTGCGGGTTCGAGTCT